GTTCAGCAGATAAAAATCTTTAGATTCTGGCTTTGCACCTACTGTGATTTTAGTAAATACAGATATGTTCTTTACCCAACAGATAGATGACTGATCCGAACATTCTTTGCTCTTCGAGCTCCCCTCTTTGATTTCATGTTTGAAAACTACAATGCTTGGACAGTACTTTAAGGCTCTTTAATGTTAAGATTTAACTCAACCATGATTTAGCTGAAACAGTCTTTGGCATTTATCTCCTTTAGAAAGAAGTTAAGCCGTAAGTTTAGGAATTATTGGAGAGAACTACAAACTCTACATGCAGGAGCACCTCCTCATCATCATTGGTCTTGCCCACTGTAATAACCTCCTATCAATCGCTGCCTCAGTTCTATCCCAAAACCTTAATGGTACCCTGCGGAGACTTGCCACAAGTGATTCCACATTGCCAATATTTATATGACAGCAAACCTACGTATTTAGTGTTTTCATCTTATGATGATACATGTTAGAAACAACAGTTGAATGCCGGGGATTTGGTCAGTTCTCCATTATTCAGGGACTTAACCCAAAGGGAACTCAAGATTATTTATGCCACATAAGGGACAACAACATTGGCATTGGCAATGACAGCAAGTGCAAACAGATACAATTAGAACATTCCTGATGGTGTCAATATTGACAATGACTGATGCAATGGCAGTGGTAATTGACATCACTTCTCAAGATATCTTACAAGTGGAAATCCCAACCTATGCCTCAAAACTCAGTATGATATTTAAACACAGTGATAGAAAACGCAATGGATTCACAAGACTCAACAATCTATCCTCACACCTAAAAGAAGAATAGAAGTTGAAGCATTAACAAGATGGCTTCAATTACAAGATTGTCAATGCCTCGATTATTTTTTTTTCTCTTCAAAAACTCTTTGCAATATAAAATAGAAGTTAAAACATATGATTACTATATAACATAGGCCACTTCCTTTAAACATTTTACATGTTAAGGTCCTGATTTTTTATGACTGCAAATAAAATACCAATAGGCAGGTGGCAGGTGGAAGTTCATAACCAACCTGCAACAAAGGGACAAGTAACTAGCACGAGTTCAAAATTCTTACTTCTTTCCTTCTTTCCTCAGCAAGCGCTGCTTCCTTTTCCTTATGAAGTTGAGCTTCAACATCATCAAACAATTTCTTTCGACCTTCTTCTATCCGCCTCTCTATTTCTAACTGAACTTCCTTAGAGTTTAACTTCTCTTCCACATTTTTTCGAATGGATTCTTCCAGTCTCCTTGCAGTCTCTTCCTCTAATAGTTTTAGTAAAGCCTCTTGTTGACGCCTGATAGCGTGTACAAAAAACAAAACAGTTAAGAGTCATTCAATAAGCTAGCAAAAGCTATCGTAAGTAAATTGCAGATTTCCACTTCGAGGAAGTACACATAAACAAGAAAATAATTATTCATTAAGCAACGCATGTTAGAATAAGCAGTGGCTTACTAATTCAAAAACCCATAGAAGCTAACCTGTCACATGTCAGAACTAAATATCAACCTGCTCACTGAAAAGTGGCAAAAACCCAATTGGATGATAAAATAGGGATAAAAATTGAAGAAATTTAAACTCACATCACTAAGCTTTTAGCAATATTAATAAGATGTCAGCAAGAACATGCATAAGATATTTACCTTTTCTTCTCTTCCTCCTCTTTCTTTAGTTTCTCAACAGCATTTTTGGTAGAAGCAATACTTAGACTTCTTGACCTAGGCAATGGAGATAATGATTCACTCCTACTTCTACTTCGTTGTCTTCTACGCCGCCTAGGAGCTGTTGGAGACCGGCTTTTACGCCTCCTATAACTGGGCGAACGACTGCTCCGATGGCGACGAGGAGGTGGAGAATCAGAATCACTTCTTCTCCTGCACTAAAAAACTCACAACTTTACATCATCACAACACACCCTTTTAAGAATAATCAAAGAGCCACTAATAGGAACATCATTTCGCCTCCATATTGTACCAAATTTCACTGTGAGTTCGAATTTAAGTACCAAAAAAAATGCCCTTACAAGATTGAATAAAGATGACTTCAAAATCACAACTTTACCACATTGCATACACCCTTTTAAGAGTGGCAAAAGACCCACAAATCGGATTATCAAATTACTTCCATAATTTACTAGATTGAATTTTTAAGAACAAAAAAACAAGGAAATAAATAGTGTCATTAGCTTTTGATACAAAGTGCAAGTGACCTGGGTTGAGAATTAGAATAAGGAGATCGGCTGCGGTCAGCCCTTCTGCTTCTTCTACTACGGTGGTGTTCGGGTGGCGACGGTGAGCGCCTACGCCGGTACGACGGCGACCGAGAGATGCTTCTAGCCATCGCTCTTCATTTAATTTTATTAGCCATAACTTAAATTTTGTATGAACTGTGCTGGATTATTTTTTTTAGACGGGCCAAGGCCCAATCAACTGTTTCGGAAATGAGTTCTAGTTCATTTATTCCTGATGCTTTTTATTTTTTCTACTAAAATAAAAAAAAAATGATTTGCTGCAATTTGGAGGAAACTTGCATTGTAATTTTTTTTTTAGATTAAAGTGGTTGTCCGGACCAGCTTACGCGCACCACAACTAATCCTACAGGTCCTGAAGTTAACGACCATGTAAGCCTCCAGTGGCCATCATATGAGCAACCAAGAACTCGAATCTGAGATCACAGAGGGAGCAAACCCCTTGATTCGAAATCCTTATCACTTGACCACCATCTAAATAGTTTACATTATAATTTTAATGACTCATGAGGTACCACATTATCAATTCTCACTAAAAATGATTTTGATTTCAAGTCAAGTCATGATAAATGAATTCTCATGAATTCTTAATTTTAATATGGTTGCTTTGTTTATCTATAATTATAATTCTAATTATTATAGTTGAATTAATTTAGTAAATTATCTCGAAATTTAATTAATTCATATTTAATCTGATCTATGTTTTATAAGAAATAAAATAAAAATTGATGTGATAAAAACTCTAAATTAACTTGTAATTCAACCAACTCATATTATATTAATCAAAATCTAATCAGAAATTGGTTGATTTTTTAAAATTATAAATCAATTTGTAGCTCAACTCTTATTCAAGTTGATTTCTAGTTATGCATATCATTTTTATAGTTAAAAAAGTGAAATAAAGATAATTTATATTAATATTTACATATCTTCCTCTTATTTTAATTTTTTTTTTCATTTCTCGCAGACAATAGGGAAAAACTGCAATATCTTGTTTTTGTCATTTCTCTAGTTTCATTCTTCCCTTTCTTTTTCTTTTTTTTATCATTCACTCTCTTGACTTTCAAATAAAATTTTCAAGTGTTTTTTTTTATATTATAACTTATTTTTTAAATTATTTTTTATTAAAAAATTTCAAATTGATTTTTTAAAAAAATTATTTTTTTATAATTTTAATATGCTCTTATAAAAAAAATTTCAAAAATCATTTTACTACATTAAAAATATTTTTAAAAAATATTATACATTATAATATCAAACACATACTAATCATGTTACATCACTACACAAAATCATCCGGGAGTTGTTAGATATATTTAGTTACTCAACTTGAATCCCTAACTTGAAATACTTGTCCTTCATCCCAACAACTTTGATAAATCTTGATTCTTGATATTTTTGGTAATGCTTGGAGTTTCAAAACAGAAAAAACAGATATAATATAAATAAAAGAATATGTCTACTTTTTATTTCGAAAATATAAGATTTATTTTACATTTCTATCTATATTTTATTAATTAAATATATTTCTATTTTCTTGTATGTTTTTTCTATCTCATAACACTGACTAAATACAATTTTAAATTCGTCATTTAAGCTTCAAGTCCTCCTAGCATTGGGTTAAGGTAACACGCTACCATGACTTCTCATGTCAGCTTGTGCATGTTTTAACTTTCAATCTATAAGACTGTTCAGATGAAATTTAACTGGCAATGTCCAAGCATTAGAAATAATAAATAAAAAATTGACAACTTGTGACTCCTCCATCCAGCCCTTTCTTCTTCAGACAGGGGACAAGGGAAAAGGACCGAACAGTAGGGAATTAACTAAAGAGTCGTCTCAGAGGCAGACCATTACCAAACAATACCATATCCTTACTGCAATTGTAACAGACACAAGACATAGAAGATGAAACTGGCATGTTCTATATGCCCACCCTCATGGTATATTATGTTTTTTTCCAGTGATTTTCTAGCTTATGTACATCAATCTACAGGTAACATATAGTAAGCATGCATTAGTTTGATAAGTTTGTCTCAAAATCCGTTTCATGTTGGAGAAGCTTTATCTTGCCTTGGACAATTGTATGGCTTCTTGGCAAATGCTCGAATCCTCGGACCAAATATATTGCTGAGACATGCGTGAGAATTCTTGGTTCCTAACATCCTCATGCTGCTCCCGCTTTGCCCATCTCTCGGCCAGACCTATTCCTCGCAGCATTTTCACCACTCCTGCCATTGTGGGGCGGCCTTCAGGTGAGCTCTGCGTGCACAGCAATGCAACCTGGACAATCGTCTCGACTTCTTTGCGGTCGTAAGTTTCCAAGTTTCCATCCACTACGTCATCAAGCCTGTTTTCCCTCAGCAACTTCTTGATCTGTACATCATATTTCCGTCATTTTAAGCATTATTTAAGAAGAATTTGTATAAGTGGAAAGAAAGATAGATAATAGACGCATGGCATGCAGTCTCACATGGTCAAGCAGAAGAACATCCTCTTCCTCCTCGAGTCGAGAAAGGTCTATTGCACGCTGACCAGTTACCAGTTCAAGAAGTGTAATGCCATATCCGAACACATCTGTCTTTTCTGATGATTTTCCGGTGGATAAATATTCTGGGGCAATGTGACCCATGGTACCACGCACCTGAGTTGTAATATGAGTGAATTTTGTATCAACGAGCTTTGCTAGCCCAAAATCTCCAAGAACAGGTTCAAAATTGTCGTCTAAAAGGATGTTCGCAGCCTTTAAATCACGGTGTATAATCTTAGGATTGCAATGTTCATGTAGATATTCCAAGCCGTGCGCTGCACCAAAGGCAATGCGTTTCCTCGCTGGCCAGTCCAAGCCTTTCTCGCCAGGCTTTAAATCTATAAAATGAATCAAAAGAAAATTGATAACATAAGTCACTGTTATGAATCAATTTAGGAGTGCTATTTATAACATTGAAGTCTCAAAGATGGAAAGCACAGTGCTCATTCAAAAAATACCCCTCAAGTGGTATGCAACACTAAGATTTTGCATATATGGATACACCAGGATTCTCTCAGATGAAGTTGTACAAAATCCAATCAACCTTAGAAGATTTTTATGAGCAGCAACACTAATAAGTTGAACTTCTCTCAGGAATGCAGCCTTTCCTCCAGGACTGTAATAATCTTCGAGGCGTTTCACAGCAACTTTCATGTTGTCTGAGAGGATACCTTTGTAAACTTTTCCAAACCCTCCTTGTCCTATTATGCTGCTTTCACTGAAGTTGTCTGTTGCAAGTTGAAGCTCACGCCATGAAAATCTTCTAAGCTGCCCAAATGAAATTTTGCGGTCATCTTCACCTAAAATCACAGAAAAAAAAACAGCCATGAGTTTAGTTAACATTAACAACAATTATGTTGAAACCAATTCAACTACACAACCGAAAACAAAATTTACCAGAAACATCAACAAAGATATCATTTTTCTCTTTGTGAAATTGATGATATTGGTATGCCAAGACAACTAAAAGTATCAGTAGACCGAAAGCACCACAGCTTGCAGAAGCTGCAATTACTTTAAGTCTTGACTTCCTGGTTGAAACTGCAAATGTTTCATGATTAGGTTCCATCGGGAGATCATGTCATGAAGAATAATACAAACAAAATGCAGTGTCTTCAGAAATTAACCTCGAAGAGGAGACCTTGACCGGCAAGGTTCTTCAAAGCTCAGGCCACAAGCAATATTAGTCGCTGTAAAACTGAAGATACATAACAATTAATGTCAAGCAAACCAAGCTTGATAACTATGTGCCTACCAGTAAAAGATGATTAAAGTCTTAGAACTTAAATTACAAAGAATCACTATACACGTTAATCTTGATTTCTATCATTAAATGGTGGGTTCTCTTTTAAGCTCTCCTTCCACCATGTTTTCACAGTTAGGAGATTTCTTTTAACCAAGTTGATGAGAAAGAAAGCGACCAGCTATGGTTAGACAAACGAATCCAAACAAAAGATGATCAATGAGATGAAGATTCGAGTGGGATTTACTTGAATGTTGCAACTGAAAAGAGTTTCTCTGGTATTCTTCCTGTTAAATTGTTAGATGAGACATCCCTGTCAGAGAAAAAGAATCATGAGCAATTGAACATAGTACGACCATAGGTAGAGAAATATAACTACAAACAATATGTAAAAGGCTAACCAGCCATGTAAAGCAACCAATAAATGTTTTAAGAATGATGATATTCGCAAGAGCAAGACTACCGAAAAGCACTGTAGAACCTCATAATGTTGATTCCTTGATGGAAAAAACAGTAAAATGACTGAAATTTAAAACAAAGCCATATTCTAAGAAACTGTTAAAACAAAGATGATGTGCTGCTTCACGCATATAAGAATAACAAAGCAAGGAAATATGACTCTTCAAGAGGCATTAAAGAATCCTTACAAAAATTTTAAATTGGATAGCTGACCCCAAGTGTCAGGTATCGAACCACTGAATTTATTGCCGGCAAGATTCAGATTTTTTAGTTGGACCATGTTGCCCAGATATTCAGGCAAGGACCCTGATAGATTGTTGTTCCTTAATTCCCTGCATGGAGAAGGGTAGGTTCTAAAAAAATGGCCATAATTCACCACCAGCACTCATACCTCATCTGGAAACACAAAAGGTAATCTTTTTTCTTTCTTTTGTTTTAATTCTATAATGGTATGTAAATAAGATCATAAAAAGAAAACAATATGACATTAAAGTGATAGTTCTCCTAGATTAGTATCAATTTTAACTTCATCCTCTACCATTCAATTGCATCAATCTTAGTCCTGAAACTTTATATTCATGTTAAGCAGTGGAAGTGCTAGGTTTTGTTGACAGTAGGTCTTACATCCCGGAAAACTGAGTAAATTATTGCCATCAGTATTTTCACATGAAAAATCAGATTCAATAGGGACATCAATTCGTATTAGAAATAGATTGGTTCACATTCGGGTTGGGCAAACTGTCTTAGTTGATAGTTAGATGAATGCTTCTGCAAACATATAACTGAAAATCCATGTGAATTACAAGCTAACCAAAAACTCACAGGGAAACCAAAAACTTCAGTTTAGTGATTGCAGGTGAAAGAGTTCCTGAAAGTCC